CTTGACCTAACAGTAAAATCTTACAAGACTTTGCTAAATGGGACTGGGAAAATGGCCCAGTTGGTAAAGTGCTTGCCATGCACAGAAGCAAATAGCTAGGTGCAGCAGCAGGGGGTTCGTGCAGCCGCAGTGCTGGGGAGGTAGAGATGGGCGGATCCCAATGAATCACTGAGCACCCAGCTCCACTGTGTCAGTGAGCTCCAGGTTCAATGAGAACGTCTCTCTCCAAAGTGTAGAGCGATTGAGAAGAGCACCTGATATTGACTGCTGATTTTCATGCACAGACATACATATATGCATAATGGCATGTGCTTATGTATGCATACATACCACATAAAGACATAAATGAAAATACAATGTTTTTGTTAAAGTCAAGGCATGGATGCCCTCACTATGTAGCCCTGGGGCCTAGAACTGACTGGCTATGTATACCAGGCTGGCTTCAATCTCAGAGATCTGCCTGGCTTGTGTGGGATATTTTATTGTTTGGTTTTGCTTTTGTTTTGTTTTGTTTTTATGGTTTTTTTGTTGTTGTTTTGCTTTTTTAGATTTATTTTATGTATATGTGTGTATAGGGGTGCCTCTAGATGCCAGAAGTGGACATTCTGAATCCCTTGGAGCTGAAATTATTGGTATTTTTGAGCTGCCAGGTATGGGTGCTGGGATCTGAATTCCCTGACAGGCCTCTGACAGAACAGTAAAGCCTCTAAATGCTGAGCCTCCCCTTTAGCCCTTGTTTTATTTTCTGGAGACTAGATCTCACTTTGTAGCCCAGGCAGGTCTCAAACTCATGGTGATCCTCTTACTTCAACTTCTTACGTGCTAGGGTTACAGCCACCATGTCCTCCTTGTGTTTCTTTTTTTTCTTTGTGTGTGTGTATGTGTGTGTGTATGTGGGGGGGGGGAGACTAGCCTTGATTTTACTGTGTTGCTGAGCGTGACCTTGACCTCCTGACCTTCATGTCTCTACCTCTTAGGATCACAGGCTTGTGCCAGCATGTTCAGTGTATCGTAGTTTGGGAAGTACACCTTAGGAACTCCAAGAGAATTGCTGAAATGACAGAGAGTTTGTAAAGGATTTCAGAGTTGGGCAATCTCTAGACATTTGCCCTAGGGCTAGCTTCGGGGGCTCAACATGAGCATTTGTAAGCCCTGAGTTAAATGTCAGTTTCCCATGTGTGCACTTTGTGTGACTTTAATAGGTCTAAGAGTGTCTCGAGTTCCAGTACCTCTAGCAGTGACAGTTCGGCCAGTGAATCTTCATCAGAGAGTGAGACATCTGCCTCCTCCTCTTCAGAGGACAGTGACTCAGATGAAAGCCTGTCTAGCTCCTCCTCCTCAGCCTATTCCTCTTCCTCCTCATCCTCATCCTCTGACTCGGACTCAGACTCCAGCTCCTCCAGCAGTAGCAGCAGCACCGAGAGCAGCTCTGAAGATGAGCCACCGAAGAAGAGGAAAAAGAAATAGAACTCTCTGTACACCAGAACAATGGATCCAAAGCATCTGTGACTCCCAGGGGAATTGAAAATTGTTCAAGCAAGCAAGTTAGCTGGTCAGCCTTGTTAAAATCCAGAGCTTTCTAAGTATTCGCCATTGTATAGGATATTTAAAAAAGATGTTATATATATATATATATACACACACACACACACACACACATACATAAAGATGTTTATTTTAGGAATGAATATTGGATTTTTGCTGTTGGTTTTCTTTTTGTAAAGACTGGGTCTCATTTTTTTGTAGGTCTGGCTGGCAGTGAACTTGATATGTAGAGCAGGCTGGCCTTCATTTCAGAAAGATCTACCTGTCTCCACTTCTTCTAATGTTGAGACTAAAGAAAAGTGTTACCATGCTTAGCTTTTATTGTTAACATTTTTTTTAAAAATATTTGAAGTCTATCTGTAGTGCATAATCAAAGCTGAAAACCAGGAACTCTATTTCAGTGACAGACAAAAGTCATTTTTTTCCTGCCTATGAAATGAATGCTTTATGTGTGTGTATGTTAAAGTGTGTATGGGACAGTCTTTGATGAGACTGCATCAGAATATCAAGAAGTTTCTTGTGCTTTTTGGGCTGTGTCTATTATGTGAGATTTAATGCGTTATCATAGTTTTCCTACTGTTAATAAATGTGCTCTATTTTTATGTTTGTATCAAAAATTATTCTGATTTTTTTCTATCCTGAATATGTAAATTCAAAGAACCTAATACAGTACATTGAAATGATGTAAGCTTCAAGTTTTTTCTTTGTTTTTTTCTTTAAGATTTATTTATTTGTGTGTGTGTATGCCTATGTGAGTTCATGTGTGCAACACAATTCTGTGAGAGTTTGTAGAGACCAATGAGTAGGACACCCTGCGGTAACTGGAGTTAGAGGTAGTTGGAAACTGCTATGTGGGTGCTGTGAGGCAAACCCGGGTCTTCGGCAAGAGCAGCAAGTCTTCATAACTGCTGAGACTTCTCTCTAGCCCCAAGCTACGACACTTTGTCATTCTTTTCCATCTGGTTTTTTGTTTTTGTTTTTGTTTTTTGAGACAGGGTTTCTCCATATAGCCCTGGCTGTTCACTCTGTAGACCAGGCTGGCGTCAAACTCAGAAATCTGCCTGCCTCTGCCTCCCAAGTGCTGGGATTAAAGGTGCGCCACCACTGCCTGGCTCCATCTGGTTTCTTAAGTTCTTTTTTTGTGTGTGTATTTTTCCACATTTACTAGCTACTTTTTTATTAGATATTAGTTTTCAGTCAGGATATGAAGATTCAGCCTTAGTTCATGAACGGAACTGAGCATTTGGTAATTTAGGAGTGCAGAGAGTCCTCTATACCAGCCCTTCTGGGACCTGCACATCACTAATGCATGTGTTTCTACTAAGAAAGACAGTAGCTGAAGAACACGCGGGTGCCAGCACCATGTTAACCCAGGTGTGCTCTTTGCGCTGGTTGATATTGTATACTATTGGGTATAAACTCAGTGCTCCATCTTTGGGGTTGGGATGTCTCCCAGTTTAACGTCCATGAGTTTCTTTGGAGTCTTTGCTGAAGAACCACACATCTCAGGCTTTTGGGAAGATTTTTTTTGTTTGTTTTGTTTTCGTTTTAAAGATTTATTTATTTTATGTATGAGTACACCATTGCTGTCTTCAGACACACCAGAAGAGAGGATCAGATCTCATTACAGATGGTTGTGGTCCACCATGTGGATGCTGGGATTGAACTCAGAACCTCTGGAAAAGCAGCCAGTGCTCTTAACCGATGAGCCATTTCCCGTTTCTCCAGCCCACCTTATGTGTGGGCCAAAGGAGGACGTGGGAACTAGAACTGGAGTTACAGGCAGTTGTGAGCTGTGGATGTGGATGCTTGGAACTGAACTCAAATCCTCTGCAAATAAGTTTGCTTAACTGCTGGACTGTCTCCAGCCACCAGTTCCTTTATATTTAAAAGAGGTTTTTAAAGGGTGAGAGCAATGGCTCAGTCAAGTATAATGCTTGCTGTACAAGCATGAGGATCTGAGTTTGGTCCCCAGCACCCAGCAGGGCACAGTCAGGTCACCTTGTCTTGTAACTCTAGCACCAGGAGGGATTGAGGTAGACAGATCCCTGGTGCTCATTGACCCGGCCAACCTAGTCAGTGAGCTCCAGACTCAGACACTGTCCTAAATGAGGTGGAGAGAAGTGCAACTGATAGCATGTGACATTGACTTCGGCCCACACATACAAGTGAACGTGTACATACAATTAGCTTCCATAAACATCAAATCTTATAAAAAAATTTTTAGGGTTAGAACCTGAGGCCTGTTGAATGCTAGCAAGCCCTTTACCACTGACCCACATCCCCAGCCTTGCCTCTTAATAGTTCCTGTATGACAGTTTATATGATAACTGATCTCATATGACTCTATAAACATGAACAGGGAAAAGATGGTGCTCTAGCAAGAATCGGGAAATACTGTACAATATTTTAAAAAGTAAACTATAATGTCCTATAATATCAAATTTAGCCACATTATTCTGTGGTCTTAGGCTTTTTAGAAAATCAACCATCGCCAGGCATGCCTTTAATCCCAGCACTTGGGAGGCAGAGGCAGGTGGATTTCTGAGTT